CCGGGTTCAGGCAATTCTCCTGCCTCAGCTTCCCGAGTAGCTGGGACTACAGGCACGCGCCACCATGCCCAGCTAATTTTTTGTAGTTTTAGTAGAGACGGAGTTTCGCCATGTTCACCAGGATGGTCTCGATCTCTTGACCTCGTGATCCACCCGCCTCGGCCTCCCAAAGTGCTGGGATTACAGGCTTGAGCCACTGCGCCCGGCCCTCTTCTTTTTTTAAAAACAAAGATGGTGGAATATACTATTGGGTAGTTCTTTTCCATTTTTTTTTTTACTTGACAATATATCTTGGAAATCATTTCTTCTCTATATATACATCTATGTCTATATATATCTGTTTCATTAAAAAAATTTTTTTTATTTTTATTTTTTTGAGACCGAGCCTTGCTCTGTTGCCCAGGCTGGAGACCAGTGGTGCAATCTCAGCTCATTGCAACCTCCACCTCCCAGGTTCAAGAGATTCTCCAGCCTCAGCCTCTCGAGTAGCTGGGATTACAGGCACCTGCCACCACATCTGACTAACTTTTTTTTTTTTTTTTTGAGACAGAGTCTCGCTCTGTCACCAGGCTGCGGTACAGTGTGGTGATCTCGGCTCACTGCAACCTTTGCGTCCCAGGTTCAAGCAGTTCTCCTGCTTCAGCCTCCCAAGTAGCTGGGATTACAAGTGTGTGCCACCACACCCAGCTAATTTTTGTATTTTTAGTAGAGTAGGGTTTTCACCATTTAGTCCAGGCTGGTGTCAAACTCCTGACCTCAGGTGATCCGCCTGCCTTGGCCACCCAAAGTGCTGAGATTACAGATGTGAGCCACCACACCCAGCCCCTTTTAATTTTTTTTTCTGATTTTTAATTTGTTATTATATCTCATGTTCCTTTGTAAGCTGCATTAATCATATCTGGATCAAAATATAATACAATAGGTGGTATTTGGCCTAAAATGTAAAGAGGTAATTTGGAAACACTGTATTATTGTGCTTTTTAAAGTTTTAGATTTTGTGCTAACAAATTAAGATTAGTCAGCTTTTTAGTTTTTTTTTAAATTATGATTATAGAAACAGGATCTTGTTCTTTTGCCCATACTGGAGTGCAGTGGTGTAGTCATGGTTCACTGCAGCCTTGAACTCTGGGCTCAAGTGATCCTTTCACCTCAGCCTCTCCAGATGCTGGGACTACAGGCACAAGCCCCCACACCAGGTTAGTGTTTTTTGTTGTTGTTTATAGAGATAGGATCTTGCTATGTTGCTTGGCTGGTCTTGAATTCCTGGCCCCAAGTAGTCCTTCCGCCTTAGCCTCCCAGAGTGCTGGGATAATAGACATAAGCCACTGCACCTGGCCTAGGCAGCTTTTTAGAAAGGTAGAGGTTGACTGGGCGTGGTGGCTCACTCCTGTAATCCAAGCACTTTGGAGGCCAAGCTGGGCAGATCACCTGAGGTCGGGAGTTCAAGACCAGCCTGACCAACATGGTAAAACCCCTTCTTTTTTTTTTAAAAAAAGAAAGGTAGAGATTTTATTTCTCATATTTAGCTTTGAAAAAGACAAAGTTCTTAGGCCGGGCACGGTGGCTCAAGCCTGTAATCCCAGCACTTTGGGAGGCCGAGGCGGGTGGATCACGAGGTCAAGAGATCGAGACCATCCTGGTCAACATGGCGAAACCCCGTCTCTACTAAAAATACAAAAAATTAGCTGGGCATGGTGGTGCGTGCCTGTAATCCCGGCTACTCAGGAGGCTGAGGCAGGAGAATTGCCTGAACCCAGGAGG